TCGGCATCGTAATTCTAATATCGTAGTTGTACCATGCATCTTAATTAATACACGAATTTTCTTTCAAGTGTATATAATTTTATAAACACGTTAGACGAACCTACTGTTTTTTTCCCTCTTGATATTACTCTTACTTTCTCTCATTTCCATATGGTATTGTTTGCGTAACTTATAGTTTATTATAGCAACAAACTTCAGTACAATTGTTTTACCCTTTTTGATGATGAAGGTACACACGATTATTAATTTTATTAAGGTTTGCTAAAATCGAGGATCTTATTTGTTATATGAGCCTTGCATTGGGCCTTTCATATTCGTACACTTGAATTTTGTGTACATAACCATTGGATGTACATAAAATCACTCAAGATCATGCTTTATATTTGATAGTTAAAATTCGAGCGAATATTATATAAAGCAAAGACTTCATAATATATAGAATGTATGTTATTATTAAAATGTACGGTGATTTGTGATGAGAACACAGACAGTTGCTACAAGTACATCAGGGGGTACATAAGGGTATCCATAATGGACACCCTTATGTACCCCTTAATGTACAAGTAGCATTTTTCTAAAAATATAATATCATATGTTAACTCAGACCAGGATCAGCGAACATGATGCCTTATATTCGATCTCGAACAAAAACAACAAGCATACGGAGGTAAAATTGGAAAGCAAGTAAATATGTTCTTATTTATTTTCACCAGCTATTTCACGTCAACAAAAATCGTTATCGAAGCACACATGAATAAGAATGTAAAGCCTGTCAAACATGATTTCAGAATCAATTAACAAAGAACACGTGATATGGTGAATAAAATGCAAAAGTAACATATTCAGTTAAAGCTCTCCAATCAATTGCTATCAAGTGTCATTAAATAGAAATGACTTAATTACTTTCATGGTCTCATTCAGAAATCTATAAATAGACATAGTTGATAGCAAAGAAGGATATGAAAAATTGAATACTCATCTTTCAAATAGTGATTTCACTCATCTCTAGTTTGAGCAAGAATTAATTAGGAGGAAAAACTCTGGTTAGCTAAGGGAAATTTTCTAATCTCAATTTGGAGGTCAACAGTGCGTCCACTATCAAGAAATGTAGAATCAATGAAGGAATTTTTTGTCAATGTTATAAACAGGACCAAATTCCAAGATCTTTTCAGAGCGCTGACGGCGCCCTGACATTTGTTCTAGCCATTGAGCCGAGACAAATGGCTTAATCCATGTTATAATCTCTGTTGACAATACCTTTTACCGATGAATAATTTCGGTTTTGCCGGTCAACCGATATGTAGGAAAATCTGTCGGAAAGTTTTAAATTAATATATTCTTTCTTTTTACAAATGAAAATTAACAATAGATACTTTCGTAGATAATTCAACCATTGATTTTGTTGATAATTTTTTTATTTGTTTGAGCCCCATTTTTAGTCAAAAATGCATTTTGGAATAGTGATTTGATGAAAAATGTGTCAAGAAATATAAAGCTCTGATACCATGTCAAGAAATATAAATTGTATTATATTGTTTTGTTAATATTACAATGTAGAAGACCCTATTTATAAGGTTACAAATAACTGTAGAAGGAAATAAA